AATTATAATTTAATAAATAATCATAAAAAATTATAATATAATAATAATAATACATTTTATTCAATAATATAATCAAACCAAAAACACTGAAATTTGAAATATAGTTCCAAGTTTGCACATCACTGAGCAAAGTCGCAAAATCGTTTTCAGTGTCTGATGATGAATTTCCCCACGAATCATTATCACTCAATTCTGCAAGTAGTTCTGATTTACTATTGCTGTATTCTAGCTGCTCTAAAACCGCTTTTGACCTAAAGGGATGCTTTTTGGACGCCATGGATGTTTTTCAGTTTCCAGACAGAAAGAACAGTAAAAATGCAGACAGGGCATAGGACAAAGCACTAGGGCCAAAATGTATTTGAAATGGTTTGATACAGTAATGGTTTACTATGTGATTTTAGTGAATGTCACTTTTTGTCATTTTCAAATTTCCCGCCGTTCCGTCCTCTGTACGTACCGACGCTCGCAGGGGACAGAACCCAGATGACAGATGCCGGCATCCACCGGAGGACATTGCCGGGGATACTGCAGGAGGGACATAGCGGGAGCGCAGGACAAGGTAAGTGTTCGAGGGATCGTAGAGCAGCGCCGCATGGTAAGCCCGAGTGTAGCTTGGGGTTACCACTTGTGGTACTGAAACTTTACCCCGAGCTACACTCGGGAATACCACCAGGGAGGTTAATGTCTTTCTGGTAAACCTGTATTTACGTTACTGCTGCTTCACATCCACCTTAAACTGAATACAGATTAACAACTCTCAATGTCCTTCTGGTAAATCTGCATTTATGTTACTGCTGCTTCACATCCATCTGTAGCCCTATTCACAATATTGTGTTCTTTATTTTGTCTTTAAGTTTCTTACCTAAATTATGACTGATCTTTATCTTTACAACCCTGTCCTCTTGGTCCTCTTGCAGTTTGATTGTGTTATGAAATGGTTACTTTGCCAGCTGTGTACTTGATATTAACTCCTGATTGATTCTTTGGCGAACTCCACACCAACCCACCACAGTATAAATCTAGATCACCTTTATGGGGGAGGCATATGCCGGAGAGGCACATGCTAGGGTGTTGCATGTTGGGGTTCTTCCAATACAGCGGGTTCGTTAATTAAGTGGCACTTCTGATCTTGCACTTCAGCAATCGCACAAAGTGAAAAACCACAGCAAGCTACTTTGCAAAACATCAGACTGCAGGTGACCTTGTTTCCCCATTCAGCTCTTTCCTCTCTGTAACATGTGCTCTCTACCTCTCCTCTTCAGAGTTGTGTCTTCTCTCCTTAAACTATGTTCACCCCTCTTCTCCACCCCACACTTCTGTCCTCCCCTTATCACTGCACTCATAATCTCCTCCTAACTCTAATCCCACATGCTAATAAAACCCCCAGGATGTTGAGGCATATCCTCTCATATAAATCAAACTCTCATATTACCTCTTTCATCCTTCTGCTTCTCTTAACCTCTGGAGACATATCCCCAAACCCTGGGGCTCCTTTATTTAACTGTAACCAATGCACACATCACCCTGCACCCTCTGGCAGCAGCTGCAGTCCGCACAATTTAGTTTCCATTTCTCTTCTTCCCAGAACCAGTCTACCCTTCTCCTGTGCCCTCTGGAATGCTTGCTTTGTCTGCAACAAACTCACCTCTGCTCATGACTTCTTTGTCACTAACTCCTTTCATGTACTTGCTGTCACCGAAACCTGGCTTCATGAATCCAACACTGCTTCTCTTGCTTCCCTCTCCCCTCCCATGGTGGTCTTCTCTGGACACACTCCCCCAGACCCAGTGGTGGTGGAGTAGGAATCCTCCTATCCCCACAGAGCACTTTTAAGGTTCCTCACTCTCCTCCATCTCTGTCTCTCTCATCATTTGAAGCTCACCGTGTACGTCTGTTTTCTCCAATTTCTGTAAGAATTGCTGTCATCTACCGGCCCCCTGGACCAATATCAACTTTCCTTGATGATTTCTCTGCCTGGCTACCCTGTTTTGTCTCTTCTGAAATTCCCACAATCATTCTCGGCAACTTTTAACATCCCTGTTAATACTAACACTCCTACTACTTTTAAACTTTTTAGCCTAACCTCCTCATTTGAACTGAAGCAATGGGTACATGCTTCTACTCACTTTGAAGGTAACATCTTTGACCTTGTATTCAACTACCTATGCACTCCGTCCAACCTCTCCAACAATCATTTTCCTCTCTCTGATCACCACTTATTAGTTTTGCTCTCTCCCTGTCTTCCACCACCTCTACCTGCAACCGCCTAACAATAAACCATAGAGACCTTTCGCCACTTCAACCCTTCTCTTCTCTACTCTGCTACTGACTACCTCTATGACACTATCTCACCCCTGTCCTGCCCAAATCTAGCCATGTCTGTCTACAATAGATCCCTGTCCTCTGCCCTGGATGAGCTCACCCCTCTCACTACACATAGAATCAGACCCCGACCCCACAAACCTGGCAAACAGACAATACCACAAGTCTCAAAAAATGCAGCTGAGCTCTTGAGCGTTTGTTGCATAAGACCATGTCTCACAAAGACTTTAACCAATACAAAACTACCCTCCCAAAATACAATTCTTGCCTCCACACTGCCAAGCAGACCTATTTTATCACTCTCATTAACACCTTCTCATCTAGTCCCTGTCAGCACTTCTTTCCCTTTAAATCTCTACTTCATCCTCCACTGCTTCCACCCACTAAATCACTCACTGCCCAGGAGATTGCCAATCACTTCAAAAATGTATACAATTCGTGATGAAATGTCCCCTCTACAGATAACTCCCCTACTTAACACCCCTGTCCACGGGCATACTCAACACTACCCTTATTCAACCATGATACTACGGATAAGGTTGCTAAACCTTTTTCCAATGCCCACCTAACCACCTGTCCCCTGGACCCTATTTCCTCTCAAATACTGCGGTCACCCTTTGGTTCTGTCCTATACTCTCTAACTTATATCTTCAATCTCTCCCTCTATTCTAGCACCTTTCTCAACACTCTAAAACATGAATTAGTCACCCCCATACTTTAAAAGCCTTCCTTGGACACCACCAATCTTAGCAACCTTTACCCCATCTCTTTTCTTCCCTTTTCCTTCAAACCCCTTGAATGCCTGGTCTACAACTGACTGAGTGACCACCTCATTAAGAATAACCTTCTTGATCCCCTTCAGTCTGGACTTCGCTCTCAACACTCTGCCCTCCTTAACCTCACAAACAAATTACTAACAGCAAAAACCAATGGACACTATTCTGTGCTCCTACTTCTGGACCTTTCGGCTGCCTTTGATATGGTTGACCATCCCCTCCTCCTCAAAAATGTTTACTCCCTTAGTATCCGTAACTGTCCCCCAAGGTTCTGTTCTTGGACCTCTCCTATTCTTGATCTACACCTCCTCCTTGGGTCAGCTGATAGCCTTCCATGGATTTCAATATCATTTCTATGCTGATGACACCCAAATCTATCTCTCTAGCCCTCAGCTCACAACATCAGTCTTCTCACGCATCACTAACTTACTGACCAATATATCAGTCTGGATGTCACACCACTTCCTCAAACTCAATCTATATAAAACTGAGCCCTTAATATTTCCTCCCCCACGTGCCCCGTATCGCACAACGTTCAACCTATCCCTCTATGCTAGGGTGCTAGGTGTAATCTTGGACTCTAAACTCTCCTTTCGGCTCCGCATCCAATCACTTTCCAAAGCTTGCCGTCTCAACCTTCGCAACATCTCCAAAATACGCCTCTCTTAATCAATGACACCACAAAGCTCCTAATTCACTCCCAGGTTATCTCTTGCCTCGATCTCTCTCCTCATTGACTTACCTTTACATAGGCTATCCCCCCTCCAGTCCATCATGAATGCTGCTGCCAGGCACCTTACCAACCATTCAGTGTCTGCCACCCCTCTCTGCCAATCCCTGCACTGGCTGCCACCCACCCAACAAATTAAATTCAAGATACTAACAACAACTTACCAAGCCATTTACAACTCAGCCCCAGCTATATCACTAACCTAGTCTCAAAATACCAACCAAATCTCTCTCTTTGTTCCTCCCAAGACCTCCTGCTCTCTTGTTCCCGTGTCGCCTCCTCCATGCTCACCTGCAGGACTCCTACTCTGTCCACTTTTAGGAAATCCCTGAAAAATTTTTCTCTTCAGAGAATCTTATCCTGCCTCCACCTAACAACTATACATGTATTTTCTCAATCAGCTCGCTTGACCCTCCCCTATTAGATTGTAAGCTCTAATGAGCAGGGCCATTTGAATCCTCCTGTATTCAATTGTATTGTAATTGTACTGTGCCCTCCTGCTTTGTCCCTGTTTGTACTGGAATCTTACTGTATCTCTAGAACTCTGCATCTACCAGATGGAGTTCCTCTCCCTGCACTATTCATTCGCAAAATTCGAGCCAACCCCAGTAGGACATTACTATTTATTAGTGCTGCCTTCAACCAAGATGGGCACAGAAGGTCACTGGAAGTGCAATATCCAATCAGACAGCTGCCTCTCCTGTGACAGCTATGGAGACTGCAAGGAAACATCTTCCCCTTAAGTCTCTACTCCATTCTTGAGCAGCAAGGCGCCACCTGCTGGGTGGAGAAGAACTACACCTGCCAACATTAGAAATAATAAATCCCTTTAGGTGTGACCTGACCCACGATAAGTACTTAGTGGCCCCCACTCAGGCTAGCATGGTCTGATTAATCGGATGCCGCTGACTAGTGAAGGTGCAGGCTGGGGAAATATTCGTCCAGACCCAAAGCACACTGTAGAAATAGAAATAGGAAATGATAGCCCGGCTGCCACACACCTCACCTGGCCCAAGTGGTTAGCAGGTTTCATCATAGAGGTTGGGGGCAAGGAGAAACATGTTGGGGGCATGGCTTGAAGGAATCGAGCTGAGACTGCTTTTACCTGCTAACCACTTGGGCCGGATGAGATGTGTGGTGGCTGGGCTATTTCTTGCTATTTCTACAACGTGTTGTAAGCAGGGGTGGACTGACCATTTGGAAACTCGGGCACTGCCCGAGGGCCCGGGGTCAGTAGGGGGCCCCATGAGATGCCCCTGGTACCTTTTTCATAGGCTTTTTTGAGTTTGGGCAAGGACACAGGGGCCCCATGATCCCCTATTGCCCGGGGGCCCCATGATTTGTCAGTCAGCCCTGGTGGTAATTTATGCGGTATTACAATTAGAGTGATAAACATTTGGATAGTTGAAAACTCAGACCCTTTAACAGATGTATTTTTTTATTCAATCTGATATATAAACACCAGTGTTTGACCATATGCTGTATAGATGTATGTTTATGCCAATGGAAAAGGAGAAAGGAGTACAGGCATATGCCTATGGGGCACTGGGCATAGCAATTGCATAAGGTTTCCAAACCTTTTAGTACATTTTTCCTCCCAAGCTTGGCTGGCTAGGATATCCTCTGTTTCTCATAAGCATAAACCTTCCTAAAATCTGCAGGATTGGGCTACAGTCACGTCTCTAGAAAGATTGTTATACCATTTTTAGCTGCCTAGTCCATTTGCTACATTGCAAAAATGTAATAATAGTTACATATTAATCTAAACAAAAAAAGGCATCTACAATATGTACGGATGACTAAAGACAAATTGCATTAATTCTAAAAACTATATTTATCCTCTATAAAAAAGGGAAATTCAAAAAGCACAAACAATCCCACTCATTCTGCCTCTCTTATCTCCTTCACCAGAGCTGTCTGTGACCATTCACTGGTATAATGTTTTTTATCGCTCTCTTCTAAAAGGTTAAAATCATAATTCTTACGGTGCTGGGTGAAAATGTGGTTTATTTATAAAATCGCCTGTACAGCACAGTCTACTGGATATTACAAGTGATTAGATCTGTATCAATTAAAACTTACAATGCAAAAAGCCACATTCACGGAAACCACCCAGGAAGACTGTTTTGTGATCAAATATAAAAATAGGATTGCAGAAGTGCGAACCTAGCCTTTAAGTAGGCTTGTCACTAGTGTAGTTAACGACTTCATACGCAGGATAAAAACAAACCTCAAAGCGAAGTTCCACTCATGCTGTCAAAAAATAAAAGTCAGCAGCTACAAAAACTGTAGCTGCTGACTTTTAAAAAACAGCCACCTACCTGTCCCTGGTCCCACGGTGTGTCCCCTACAGCCCGTTTCCCCAGCCGTCCTGTATTCCAGGAGGCCGGCATCTTCAGTGTGGGAACCCGGCTGTGATAGCTTGCGGTTTAACAGCCGGGTACCCACTGCACATGTGTGAGTAGCGCTGCACTTCATGAATAGTCTTATAGTCTTCTGGGACCTGTCATTTGTCTCAAAAGACTACAGGGAGGGAGGGAGGACACCTTCTGCTTTCGATCGCCTATGCGATCGGACTGGAAGTGGGAGTGGATACCTGTCAAATTCGGGTACCCGCCCCCCCAAAGGTGCCAACCCTTAAGGGGGAGCGGGTGAGCAGTCCTTAAAGTGGAACTTCCCCTTTTGGGTGGAGCTCCGCTTCAACACCCAGTCCAAATTTTGCAACTTTGACATATTTAGTATAAGGCTCCATGTACACGGTGCATTTGGAGAACTCTTCTGAATGCTGGAAATTGACAGCAGGAAAACACAGGTTAAAAATGGCAGTTTTGTTGCGTTTGCATACCGCGTTTATGTGTGTTTAGCCGTGTTTATGAGTGTTTGCGTTCAGAAGCGTTTTTTTTATTGATAAGCACAGAAGAACCTCCCAAATGCCCAGAATGCACTTTAAAATGGTAAATTATTAACTATTTCAGACTGTTTGAGAGAAATAGAGATAGTAGAAGCAGAGAGCAGCATTTGTTGAGATTAGCTTTCTTTTTTTTTTGTGTGGTGTTTGGATGTGTTCCAGCTCATTTCTGTGCAGAAATTATTGCAAAACCTCAAAGTATGGTACACCAGGTCCATTTGAGTACCAGGAAAACAATTTGCATGATGCAAAAAGGCTCTGGACAGCATCTGGCAATGGAAGAGTTAAAAAAAAATTTCCAAACGCAAATGCTTATAAACGCGGTTAACCGCGTTTACATGCGTTTACAAGCATTTGGCGTTTGAAATTCTGATAAAATCTACTCCTGAACGCAAGTTTGGTGCATTCAAAAAAACGACTGTAAACTCATCTGCCAGTAAATGACTGTAAACGATGAGGTGTACATGGACACATAGGAAAACATTAGGGAGAGTTCAGGGGCTGCTGAAAAAAATGCAGAAAAGCTCCTGAACTTACGTTTAGCAGCTGCAGTGTACATGGAGCCTTACTGTAGATTTCATCAGTACTACTTAGTGTATCCAGTGTGAATTATACCACATTTCTTTCAGGACAAATTTAGTTTTTATTTGCTGGGAAATGTTAATAGACATCTCCTGATTTTTTTTTATTATGAAAGGAAAACAGTAACAAAAAATAATAATTTTTTAAACATTACCATTACATTTTTATGCCATTACCATGACTAGAGATGAGCGAATTATTCAAAAAATTCGATTCGGCTGATTCGCGAATTCGCGGAATAAATTCGATTTGAGGCGAATATATTCGCTGCGAATTTAACTTATTAAAAAGGGTGTTTCTAGGCTTCAGAGAGCCTTTATATATTAGTGCACTGTACCTTTAATTTAAATGCCCTTGGAGTCTGCTGGGGAAGAGAAATAATACTGTCAGTCAGTATGACATGCAGATGAGTGCCGTCGATCTTAGAATCACCGCACACTTCACTCATTTGGGCAGTCAACGGGGCCAAAACCAGAGTGTGGAGCCACAGTGTGGCGGTGGAGGGCAGCAGCAATGGGAGGCCATACAGCACCCTATGACAAAATGGAACCCACCAGCAGTGTGAGGAGACCTGAAAGTGGCCACATGGCAGAGTGTGGCGATGGAGACAGCAGCAATGGGAGGCCGTAACAGGGACCCATGACACACTCTGGACCTGGCAGCAGCATGAGGAGGCGGGTACAGGGGCCCATGACAGATTACGGGCCTGGCAGCAGCATGAGGAGTCGGTACGGGGCCCATGGCAGATTACGGGCCTGGCAGCAGCATGAGGAGGCGGTACAGGGGGCCCATGGCAGAGTGGCGGAGCGTAAGCAGCTAAAATTGAAGGGCCATACAGAGCGAGGCCTATGTTAAAAAGTCCCCCCAGCAGCAGCGTGGGGAGACGACTATCAAGAGTCCAATGGCAGAGTGGCGGAGCAGAAGCAGCTTCAATTGAAGGCCATACACAGGCCTAGGTTAAAAAAAGCGGAGGAAGCCGTCAGCAGCGTGAGCAGACGACAGAGGCACATGGCGCAGGGTGGCAGGTGGAGGCAGCAGCAATGGAAGGCCATACAGCACCCTATCACAAAATGGAACACCACCAACAAGTGTAAGGAGACCTGAAAAGTGGCACATGGCGCAGGGTGGCGGTGGAGGCAGCAGTATTCGGAAGCCAAACACAGGCCTCGGTTAAAAAGCGGAAGCCGTCAGCAGCGTGAGCAGACGACAGAGACACATGGCGCAGGGTGGCGGTGGATGCAGCAGTATTCGGAAGCCAAACACAGGCCTCGGTTTAAAAAGCGGAAGCCGTCAGCAGCGTGAGCAGACGACAGGGACACATGGCGCAGGGTGGCGGTGGATGCAGCAGTATTCGGAAGCCAAACACAGGCCTCGGTTAAAAAAGCGGAAGCCGTCAGCAGCGTGAGCAGACGACAGAGGCACATGGCGCAGGGTGGCGGTGGAGGCAGCAGCAATGGAAGGCCATACAGCACCCTATCACAAAATGGAACCCACCAACAATGTAAGGAGACCTGAAAGTGGCACATGGCGCAGGGTGGCGGTGGAGGCAGCAGTATTCGGAAGCCAAACACAGGCCTCGGTTAAAAAGCGGAAGCCGTCAGCAGCGTGAGCAGACGACAGAGGCACATAGCGCAGGGTGGCGGTGGAGGCAGCAGCAATGGAAGGCCATACAGCACCCTATCACAAAATGGAACCCACAACAGTGTAAGGAGACCTGAAAGTGGCACATGGCGCAGGGTGGCGGTGGATGCAGCAGTATTCGGAAGCCAAACACAGGCCTCGGTTAAAAAGCGGAAGCTGTCAGCAGCCAGCAGCGTGAGCAGACGACAGAGACACATGGCACAGGGTGGCGTGGTGGATGCAGCAGTATTTGGAAGCCAAACACAGGCCTCGGTTAAAAAGCGGAAGCCTGGTCAGCAGCGTGAGCAGACGACAGAGGCACATGGCGCAGGTGGCGGTGGAGGCAGCAGCAAATGGAAGGCCATACAGCACCCTATCACAAAATGGAACCACCAACAGTGTAAGGAGACCTGAAAGTGGCACATGGCGCAGGGTGGCGGTGGAGGCAGCAGTATTCGGAAGCCAAACACAGGCCTCGGTTAAAAAGCGGAAGCCGTCAGCAGCGTGAGCAGATGACAGAGGCACATGGCGCAGGGTGGCGGTGGAGGCAGCAGCAATGGAAGGCCATACAGCACCCTATCACACAATGGAACCCCACCAACAGTGTAAGGAGACCTGAAAGTGGCACATGGCGCAGGGTGGCGGTGGAGGCAGCAGTATTCGGAAGGCCAAAGCACAGGCCTCGGTTAAAAATGCGGAAGCCGTCAGCAGCGTGAGCAGACGACAGAGACAGATGGCGCAGGTGGCGGTGGATGCAGCAGTATTCGGAATGCCAAACACAGGCCTCGGTTAAAAGCGGAAGCCGTTCAGCAGCGTGAGCAGACGACAGAGACACATGGCGCAGGGTGGCGGTGGATGCAGCAGTATTCGGAAGCCAAACACAGGCCTCGGTTAAAAAGCGGAAGCCGTCAGCAGCATGAGCAGACGACAGAGGCACATGGCGCTGAGGGTGCGGTGGATGCAGCAGTATTCGGAAGCCAAACACAGGCCTCGGTTAAAAAAGCGGAAGCCGTTAGCAGCGTGAGCAGACGACAGAGGCACATGGCGCAGGGTGGCGGTGGAGGCAGCAGCAATGGAAGGCCATACAGCACCCTATCACAAAAATGGAAACCCACCAACAGTGTAAGGAGACCTGAAAGTGGCACATGGCGCAGTGGGGGTGGCGGTGGAGGCAGCAGTATTCGGAAGCCAAACACAGGCCTCGGTTAAAAAGCGGAAGCCGTCAGCAGCAGACGACAGAGACACATGGCACAGGGTGGCGGTGGAGCAGCAGTA